AATAGAAGCAATTATTGTTTACTGTTCTCATCTTAGGTTGGACAGATATATTGTTTTGGATATTAATTAACTGTTTTTCTCCTTAATTTTTTGTCTATTTTTTTTCTTTGTTTTTGGAAACAAGAGAAATCTGATTTAAACTGAGATGACAGTCATTTTTTTCTCATGTTTTGAAAGAGGGGGGAAGGAGCGAGGGAAGCTGTCGTTTTTTTGTTTGAATTTACTTTGGGGTTTTGGCTACGGGAAGAGTTGTATTGCGGTAAAAGGTTGAAGTAAAATATACAATGATTGCCTTGAAAATTTGCCGAGAATTAAAAATAAAAAAAAAATGAGGGGAAGGGAGGGGAAAAGAAAGAACTATCCTAATGGGCTTTGAAATAACGGTTATTTGCTTTCTGATGGAAAAAAAAGAAAGAAATTGTTTCCGTTTTACTGGAACAAAGGATTGCTTTTTTTCTTCTGTTTTTTGAAATGCAAAATTCAATATATAATTAGTAATTTTCTTTTTTTTTAATCTTTTTTTTCGGGTACATCTTTTTTTTTTTTTAGTTGTTGTTGTTGTTCTATTGTTTGTTATTTAATGTGTCGTTTACCGTTGCTTTTAGTTTATTAAAAATCATTGCTCTGTGAGCTGTACGTATCGATGATATAGTTTATGAAAGTATAACCAAGTCTTTTTTTTTTTTGCTTGCTATCTTATGACATACATTGTTTTTCAATTTCGTTTTTTTTCGGTCTTTTTTTTAACGCTCTTCTTTTTTTTTGCCCATACTTTATGAATGTTATTGTTTGTAATGATAGTAAAAAAGAAAAAAAAAAGGAGAAAGAGTCATCACCATTTTTTTTTGGCAGGGTTTTTATTGAAGGAGAAAAAGGGAAAAAAAATCATAATAATAATAATAATAATAATAATGAACAGTATTAGGGTGGAGATTTAGATTTGGAACGGTTCCGTTTGATGACCTTCAATAGTTTTTGTTCGGCTAAGGTGGCTAGAAGGCTACCAAAACACATGGCCTTTTTTTTGGCCTAACTGTAGTTAAATGCAAACACAATGTTTGGTCAAAACGGGAAAGGGGCCAAAAAAAAAAAAAAAAAAGAAATAGATTTTATTGGTTCTGTTAGTTAGATGAAAGTGTTAGGTGGAACAATAACTTAGCCGAAGCAGTAGGAAGGCGTCAGAAAGGGCAGAAAAGAAATATGAAGAAGATATTTGCAGACAGGAGAAATTAACAGATTGTCAGATTGAATTGCGTGTAAGAAGGATTTTTTTTTCTGCTGATTGTCGTCACAACAGCAGAAAAATATAGTTGTCAAGCAGCTGCTCTGAATTCCAATTTTTGGATTGTTTATAATTGCATTTGGTATTTTGTAAGTGCTCATAGAATGAAGGTGACAAATGATGATGACAGTGGTGACGATGACAATGATGCTTTAATTACGGTAAACCAAAAAGACAACTGAATCAAAAAAATCTGTGTGCAGAAATTCCTTTAACTTATCGCTTTATGTCTTTTAATTTTATAAATGCTTCTCAAATTTTATTTTTTAGTCTTTGCACTAAATTTTAACTTAACAGATTTTTAAGCCTATTTTTGTAGAAAAAGTTTACTGTGTTGTCACTGGTGTTAATTGTGAAAGTGATTAGTTGTCGGGTTGATAGAAACTGTATTGTTGTTTGACAAATGATTGTTGCATAATACAAAACAAGAAGAAATTTTTTCACCAACTAATGATCAGTTTGTTCTGAAGAAAAAGAAAAACAATTTTTTTCTCACTGATCTGTTAATGTTTGCAAGAATTATTTGCAAGAAAAAAAAGGAAAGCAACAGTCATTTTTTTTTTTTTTGCTTTTGATTGCAAGATTATTGTGTTGATATATGACAGATTTATTTATTTAAGTTGTTAACAATGATTGAAGATAAGAAAGAAAAAAGAGGGGGAAGAAAGAAGGAAATGATAATTATTTAAAAATAAATTTTACACTATATTAAGCTGTAATAATGCGGATTTTAAATTAGGCATGATTGAGGAATGATGAGGGAGAGAGGAGAGGAGGAGGGAAGAGGAAGAAGAGGAGGAGATGGGAGACAGTTAGGTTGGTTGATTGCATGATTTAGCAACCAAATGTCAGCAGGTGGTGGTCAACAAACAAAAGGCGCCAGCTTTTTTTCAGTTCCAATTTTTGCTAAAACTGATGACATTTTTTTTTTATTTTTTTTTTTTGATCAAGCAAAATAGTAGTTTTAATTGTTGACCCTTTCCAATTGACATCTTTGCCTAATTGTTTGCTTTTCTTCTATCTCTATGTACTTGTCTATGATGCTCTTGTGGTTGCCACTGCTACTGCTGCTGCTATATGGTATATAGTCAAAAAAAAAAAAAACATCTAAGAAAAGTGATGACAGAAAGTTAATGGAAAAACAACAAAATAACTCTGCATATCAAGTGTTTTTGCTTCGTTTTGTTCAATTTTTTATATCTAATTATTTTCACAAATAAACTGCAGGGGAATTTTCATACCTATCATAATTGCCTTTTCTTTTATACTGCTCTTTGGTGTTGATCTACTGGTCATAGGTGCTGTATGTTGGTTTTGGGAAAAAAACTGGGGAAAGGTTGCAAAAGAAAAAAAAAGAGAGGGAAAAAGCAGTCTTTTTATGCTGAAGTGGAAATATTGCTTAAAAGATTTTAGCAGTCATCAATATTCTTCAGATTTAGTTTCTTCAGCTGCTTCTTTTTCTTTTTTGATGCTGCTGGCTGCTGCTGCTGCTGCTGCTG